CGCAAGAGCAGCCGCATCAAGCGACGCAAGGTCGATTCAGATGAGGATAGTACGTCGGAAGAGGACGAGGATGAAGACAACCATAAACGATTACCTGCTGCACGTTATATCCACTCGCCTTCCTCCAAGACCGCGTTGCCACGTCAGACAAAGGAAACTTTTCCGGTCGTCGTGACCACCTACGAGATCATCATTCGTGACCAGCCTCACTTGTCCAAGTACAATTGGGGCTATATCGTCGTTGACGAGGGCCATCGGTTGAAGAACCTCAATTGTAGACTCATCCAGGAGATTAAGAAATACCCGAGCGCTGGACGCATGATTTTGACAGGCACCCCACTTCATGTGCGTGCTTTTCGCAACTTGAATTGTGACACGTGTTGATGAGTTGGTGTTGATAGAATAATTTGGCGGAGTTGTGGTCGTTGCTTAACTTTATTCTTCCGGATATCTTTGACGACTTGGATACGTTTCAAGAGTGGTATGTCGGCAGAGATTCCCCCTTTTTTCGTTTCCATATACACTCACGTCAACATCAGGTTCAATCCTTGGCACGCTTCAGTCCCGTCTGTCGCAAACCCAATCAACCCACCTCATTTCCACGCTCCACGGCATCCTAAAACCCTTCCTCTTACGTCGCCTCAAAGCCGACGTCGAAGGTCTCTTACCTCCCAAAAAAGAATATGTCATCTACGCACCACTGAGTGTGAGACAGCGGGATTTGTACGACGAGATCATTGAGGGTCGGATTCGCCGATTTTTGATCGGAAAGGGTGCTGAGGATCCATCAGCGGAGAAGGATGTGGTGGACGTGAATGCACCAAGGAAATTGAGAGGGGCAAGAGAAGAAGATATGATGTGGATGAAAGTGATGAGGAGTATTTCGAGCGGATAGAGAAAGGCGAGGATGGGGAAGTGAAAAAGCACGACGTGTCAGAGGTTGGGAAAGAGTACCGGATGAGGGAAACTGGTGAGTCGACCCTGTGCTTGTGAGCGCTGGGTGATGCTAACGGTGGTGGTGGGAACAGTCAAGGGGATTAACAACATGCGTCTTCAGAACACAGTGATGCAATTGCGTAAGGCGTGTTCGCATCCCCTGTTGTTTAGGGATCCTACGGAGCCAATACCGGAGACGACGGAAGAGTTGGTCGATACAAGCGGAAAGATGATGCTGCTTGAACGCCTGTTGCACGAACTGTTTCGCACAAAACACAAGGTGCTTTTATTCAGCCAGTTTACGACGATATTGGACATTATTGAGGTGCGTGTCTCGACGAGCCTCTGTACTAGCACTCACGCTGTCATTGGTGGCAGACATGGGCGACGGAAGTAAAGGGGTGGAATATTTGCCGTATCGACGGGTCGACAGGACCATTGGAACGCCGTGAGCACATGAACTTGTTTCAGGGGGCAGGGGAAAGGAAGGATGCGCCCATGTTGTTCTTATTGAGTACACGCGCAGGGGGGCTGGGGATCACATTGACTGCTGCGGATACGGTCATTTTCTATGATCAAGATTGGGTGAGTGATGGGGATGACGGCAAGTACACCCTAACGGCGTTATGTGCTGCAGAATCCCCAGATGGACATCCAGGCACAAGATAGGGCACATCGAATTGGACAGACGAAGCCTGTGCTCGTGTTTCGACTAGTGACAGCGCACACGATCGAGACCAGGATTATGCAGCGCGCGACAGAGAAGCGAAAACTGGAGGCGTTGGTGATTGCCAAGGGTGCGTTTGATCCCAGTGAATTGTGTGTGTGATTGACGGGGGGCAGGCAAGTTTAAGATGCCGGGACAGGCAGGACGAACCAAAGCAGACAACATCGCGGACATGGCAGCTGCATTGCTGAAACTGGAAGGTGACGACATCGAGGTTGTACAAGGAAAGGAGGGGGTGTTGAGCGACCGTGACTTGGGGATGTTGTTGGACCGGAGCGAGGCCGTGTTCACGGACAGAGGTAAAGGATGGTCGGCCAAGGAGAACATGGGTGGCAAGAAGGCAGCCTTTGCGGTGTACGAGGCGCCGGTCCACAGCGGAAACGAGTTGGTGGCGAAGCTCATGGGCGAAGATATACCCGAGTAATCGATGTCATATATAAATATAATACATAACTATCTCATCGATAGCCGTCATCCATGTTACCAGACTCTGAAACATCGCTCGTTCAACCCAGCGCTACGTCGCTCGTCGACCTCCCACCCGAACTTCTCACCGTGATATGTGTCTTTGTCGACTGTCGGACGGTCGCGTGTTGTCGTCTGGTAGCGTTGCCACCTGTCCATCTCGACCGACAACTGATTGAAAGCATCTGTCACATCTAGGTTTGTCGACGACTGCGCGACGTCGTCGACGCCTCGCTCGAGCTCCAATACCGCATCGAACTCGTCCGGGATGGCATGACCGACCAAAGCGCCCGTGCGACGCAACAGGGCCTGCAGCTCACGCTCACGACGAGCGATCGTCTGGCGCGGCTACGCCAGCTCCGAACAGCGTGGACGACGTTGAACTGGACGCGCTGTGTCACTGTGCCAATGCCGGGGCCGTGTTCTGCGTACGAGCTCGTAGGAGGTATGTTTTGCAAGACGCAGCCACGGGGGCGCGGCCGCCGTGACGGGGCGCACGGGTTCGGTGGGTTCTGGGGTGGCAACTTTGGATTCGAGGGACACGGTGCGTGGCATGGACATCATGACCACGATGGACAGGGCGAACCTGAGGTGGATGGTGGTGGGGACGGCTCGCGGACCATGTCGGTGACGTGGCTCCCCGGTCGACTCGGAGGCGGCGAGAACGAGGTGGACCGCGGACGGACGGACGTGCGGGACGATCTGGGTATCCCGACGCGCGATTTCGCGATGGATCCGTCCCAGGATTTGATGGTGTTGTTCAAGGGGGATAACGGGGACGTCGGGATGTACGTCCTGTCGTTGGGCGATCGCGTGCGCAGGCTGACATGTGTGACAGGCCGGGGGATGCGTATCCGGGTACCATCGAGTTGCATGTGCGAACGATCTCGAGCAATCAGACGCATCCCGAGGCGAGAGTGCCGGTGTTGTGCTCGCCGGTGTTGTACCCCATCATGAACGTGTTCGTGCAGATCGCGGATGACGTGGTGGGAATCATGTATTACCTCGATTCGACGCAACCCCGTCTGACGATATGGAACTGGAAGACGGGCAGCATGGTCATGGTATGTCCTGCCACCTCTCTCTCGCGTTCGTGTGGTGACGTGCTCGACAGGATTGCGGCAACGGTCATTTAAGCCATCTCGACCACAGTACATGGGACTTTGCGTTTATCAACAGCCGCGCGCTGTTCTTCACGACGACCAACGATGGTGGTACGCTCGAACTGTATACGTTTACATGCGATCCCGTCCCGTCCCCATCTGAACCACCGATATCCAGACCGACCTCGGCGCTCACTCACGTTGCTACACTCCACCTGCCCTCCGTGCATGCCTCTGTGCGTGTGCTGGACGTGAGCACGCACGCCGGTCCCTTCCTCGCCGGGTGTCCACCCAACAAACCGTTTATGGCGTCCAACGAAGAGCGTATTCACGTGCTGACGATCCAGTACGTCCACTTACCGACCCTGGCCGGGCCGCGGATGCGTCTGAAGACGTGCGTGTTCGTGCACAACCGGATGTTGGTGGCGTACCTGACCAGACCGAACGACCGTGCGGCGACGGCGCTCGGGGTGGCGTGGTCGGACTGGCGAACGCAAGCGCGGATGCTGACGTATGGGGGGATGTTCCAGTGGTTGAGGTAGGTCAGTCGATCGCGTGGTAGACGGGCGCTGACGTGTGATTAGGTACGTCCACGGACAACGCGTCGTGTTGCTCCAGCCATCCTCGGATATGCACACGAGCACGATTGAGGTGCTTGATTTCAACGTGCGGCGGGCATTCTGCGCGGACGCCGTTGATGCACGTCGTGTGGAGTGTGTCGACAACTCGGAGGCGGGAGACAGCGCCAAGGATGGGGATGTACATCCATCGCGATGCAATACCACGATCGAGCTCGTTGACTATCCGACGCGTATCGTCGCGCCCAGCATCTTTACCGACGTCGTCGAGAGCGAGTTGCCCTATCGCAATGTGCGTCGGGATGTGTGTAGTGAGTACTCGGGGGTGATGATCGACGACGAGCGGTTGGTCGGACTCAAGGTGCGTCTCCTTATGAGCGGGGTCGTGCGCGGCTGACCGAGACGGGGAAGCGATATCCGGTAGTTTATGATGGGCGATTTAAAAGAGATCGAGGTGTTTACGATGTGATGCATGGCAGAGAAAAGGCTGATCTGTCTTGCCGATCTGGATGGGTTGTGATGTCTTGCTGATTTCTGGGATGTGGGGCTTTGCGTGTATTATATACTTGTACGTACCATCGACGTCTTCTGTCACACCCTCCCGCCCTACTCCGACCGGAAACTCGTGGAAAACCGAAACTTGCCTCAACGTCTGTTTGTCGATACATCTTGCTGGCGTTGTCGATCATGATGGTCAGCATTATTGCGTTCAAGTTCATTACATCGATCAACTTGGGCCCCCAGAGGACCGTGACAAGTTCGTGATTTGCCCGGAAGAGATCTCGTTACGTTCGCACATTTGACTCGCCCGCGCAGCTCAATACGACGACAAGCGCAAACTAATTCTCGTCATCTGCCATGATGGTAACATCCTTTCTGGGAATGATCGACTCACCCATCATATCGTATTCGATATCTTGGCGCAGACCCTGACCGCGATCTTGAGCCATTGACTCGGAGCTTTGTCTGCATTGGAAACTGGGAAAGGGGGCTCGTCAACACAACCGTGACATGGGTAAGGCTAGTCACGTCGTCCTGTAGTAGTGGTATACATTCGCTTTGAGGTCGCCTACATCCTTCAGTTCCCAACGCAGCGCGGGCATGATCGAGATGACCAGAGTTACCCATCAAGTGCTGATAGAACGTGGACGATCCGGTTCACCGTCAATAGAAAAAAAGGGAAAAAAAGTACTCGGATACGGGGAATCGAACCCCGAGCTACCGCGATCAATCCGAGAGAATTGAGAGGCGGTAATGTTAGCCTTTACACCATATCCGACTTGTTTGTTAACGCTTTTATTTCACACATGGACATGTGTGATCGCGGTCATCGAGGCGTACGACCTCGCGAACCCACGATATTGCAGCGGGCATTCCAGGGCGTACACGTACCAGAGACCTGCCGGCGAAGCCAGTCGTTCTGGTGCTCTCTGCACTCGCACGACACGCTCGCACGCGTCCTCTCCGGTAAGGAAATCAGCCAAACATCTGCACGCACATCACAACGTTTGCCGCCACGTATTCTCGGACATCGGCGCTCGTGGTCCCGCTCTGATCGCAGTGCACAGATCCGCCAACAAAACACGGCGGGGATCCTCGTTGGATGCGTCTCTGACAAGCCACATCGTGAAACAGAGTGTAGTCCTTCTGGGACTCACCTTTACCGTAACCTATCAGCGTGGCCGAATGCATGTCTCGCGTTTGAATGTGAATGACACGTACGTACCACAGCACTTCTGCGTTGGATGGTGTTGGAGGTCACTTTAGCACCTCGACGCTGACTTCGGGCGACTCGGATCCATGGCATTCGGTAGATGCGGGAAGAAGGAATTCCTGCTCAATTCACGCTTGAGCAGCGGAGTTCGGTCAAACCAAATCCATAGTAACCATCGCCATGTCATGCCACCAGGTACGCGTCGCGTCAGACCAAAGACGTTTTATGTGGACAGCGGCAAACCATGTGCAATTGACAAGCAGGCGCGCAGCCCCCTGACACTTCTGCAAGTTCAATACTCCACGACACAAAGCATATTGTTGACCCAGCAAGACACAAATTCGACTGTGTAGAAAGACAGGTAACGCTCGAGCTCCAGGCATGAGTAGAAGGGAAGAAAGCACGATCAACAAACCGTGTCAACTTGCGCACATCAACTTGAAAGGTAAAAACTATGGACCTCGCTTGGTAGCAGGCAGGAAATAAAAATAAAATAAAAGGAATAACACAGGGTATGAAATGAACGCAGGCACCCATGGTATCAATGGCTACCAGCGCTGAAGTTGTCGAGGGAGCACATACGACAAGCCGTTGCACAAGAAAAAGGGCCATAGAAATAACGCAGTGGGAACAAATACTCCTATAGAATACGGGCAAAATGTACAATTTTTGTTAGCTGACAATACTAAAACCAGCAGAAACGGTTCGTATGCTCGGCAAGGAGCAATGGACGTCGCAAGAAGAAAAAAGGAAATGACAGGATTCCCTAACCGACAAAACTGGCATAGGGATCAACGGACGCGTAGGATGACGTGTACCTCTTCTCCGCGTCCGTAGTTGTAGTGTGGGCGATGCTGACACGAACGGATGATGGCTCGGGGGTAGGACTGGTCGGAGTATACAGAGTTCTCATGGAGGGACCGTGGTAACTCAGGGTACGAGCAGGGAAGGCAATCGGAGAGGTAGGAGGGGATGTTATCTTGCGTGTGGCGTATGCCCGCAACATCTCATCGGGGGACATGACGTTATCGGGAACGGTCATCATCCCAGAAGGTGGAGATGCAGGCGTAGTGTGGGCAGGCAGGGGCATTTCAATGCTTTCTTTTGCTGGCAGGAGGTAGTCATCGCCAGCGTCCTGCTCGTGGCCAGTACGCATCACTAAACATTTGATAAATATTGTGCGATAAACAGAGAGGAAATACACTCACTAGAGAGTGAGGGCCAGACTTCATCCATATTGGAAAGCGGTTCCGTAGCGTTGTTGCCTTCCAAACGGGCCGTAATATCCTCAGGGGTCAACGAGAATGGGCCCTGGGTCTGTGTAGGAGATATATCACCAGCCTCGTTCTGACCGGCCAAGGGACTCGTTGGGAGAGGAGGGACAAACGATGATGCGCGAGACGTGCGGAAAGTTCGACTGGTCACCGTACGACGGGATTCTATAGACTGGACGGACAGTCTGCAGCAAATGATACCCTAGATACACGCTCGCCGAATGCCGAAGCGCGGATACCAGGACGAAGTTGACTCATTTGAGCAATATCGATAGACTGTTTCTCCGCCATCGCCGGATCGCCTTCGATACCGACGCCACTGGTGGGGCGAATGGCACCAAAGGTAAATGCAGAGGAACGGTTTCCTGTGCTCGAGACGGCGATACTGTTGCGAATGGCAGCAGAAGCACCAGCGGCCGTGATCGACTTCCAATCGCTGGAGATAGTGGACATACGTTTGTCGAGGGCCTCGGAGAAGCGTCTGTGCTTCTCTTTGCCCTTAGCTCGGATCCTTCTGATGTAGACGTAAATGCCGACGGCGAGGAAGAGGAGTGGGATAAGGACTCCTGCAGCAATTTTACCCTTTGAGGAAGAGGTGTTGGTGGGGAAATTGTTGACATATGTAACAGAGTTTGGTGAGCTGAGGTCGGCCGCAGCGGGTGTCGAACCATCACTGGGAGCGGCGTAGGTGGCAGTAAATACAGGGCCAGCAGGGAGAGGACTAAGGAAAGGCTGGGAACCGGAGGTAACGATGGACAGCTGAAGCGGTATAGAGGACGAGTCGTTCCACCACTTGGGTTCGAGGGTCGTCTGATAAGTACCCAAGGCAAAGTTGACACTTTGCCATTCGTGGATACGGCTGCTAGCGAGTGTCGGAGCGATAAGATAGATATCGACGGCTGACGTGCCGGGCAAGCACGAAGTGTCCCAGGAGATGTTGAGGGGATTAGCGCTCGAAACAGTCATTCCTACAGTGGGATTGGTATAGAAGCCGCCGCTCGTGCAAGCTAGAAAGGCGTCAATAGAGAAAAATCGAGAGTGATCAAGAGTGACGCACAGCTGCGCTTGTTGAGGGTATGATGGACACCGGCGTGCCCGACACGTACATGAGTAAAGCCTCTGGAGTTCATATCTAGAGATGATCAGAGAAGTGTAGGGATTTAAACCCTTAAAGAGCGGCTCCGCGATGGAGTGCGGGCTGACAGAAAAAAGAAAGAAAGGCGTGAAAAGAGAGTCAGAGACGCTTTCAAGTTGGCAGCGCTGCAGAACGGCAAAACACAAGAAACGAATTCACTTTCGAACTCAGCCGACCTATCGACCCCAGCCACCTGCTTAATCCCTTGGCAGGGCAAAATTATTATGTAGTCTCAACATCCCACCTTCAAGTCAACGCGAGTTCATACCTCTCTGCTTGGCCGGAAGTGAGGTCGCATTGGAATGGTAGACGCAGGTGGAGATCACATCCCCATCGCAACCGAGGCGACATGTACACCTATCGTCGGGCAAATAGCAACCAGCAGTCGACACTAGTCGTCTTTGTGGCACTGAGGTTAGTACCCATTCCATAGTGTTTCTCGTTCTCGGATCGTTCGAGCTCTGTCAGCGAGTGGTTCCGTCGGAGGAGAAAGCAACTGTTTTTCATCCGATGGACCCACGCGTTGGCCGACTTCATATCAATCAAGCATTGGCGAAGAATAATATCGTTGAATGCAAAACTTGTGATTTTATCGTGTGGAGAAGAACTCTCATCCGCCGGACCCACGTATCAACCAAAGCACCATGTGGTCCAGGTATTACCCTTCTAACTGAATGTACTGCTTACCACGGTTTTCAGGCGGAACTTCCGGTTTCGTAGAGCGGTAGCAACGCAAGAAAATGATAGTGCGCACTTTTACCGACGATCCACCGTTCTCACACGGACAACTGATTCCGAGTCGTTCCGGGTGGGCATTCAATATTCAATATTCAGTCCCAAGAGATTTGCTGTCAATCCTTGTGAATCACTCCTTACTTACAAGCGCGGGATAGTCAAGGTTACCTTTTCAAAGGAACCACGGTGGGAGACATACCACCTAAATTTGTTCACCAACATCGTTTCCAGTCATTCCGGTCTCTCAGGAAATACCCGGCGACCATTCATTTTGCCAGATCCCCATGCGACTGCTCTCATCTTACTTATCTCTTCATTTACATGTTCACTACCGAAAATCTTCTGCTCCGAAGCTTCCAAGATTCGGACCTCGATCACCTCCTTGCTCTCCGCAACGATCCGGACGTGCAACGAGGCAAGACTTTTGGGCCTGTCGTCCCCCGCCCTCCAAAGTACAAAGATTTCCTGCGCAGCTTGGCGGAGGAGTCAACCCTCTGGTTCACGATCGCGATGAGGGATACGGGGGAATTTGTGGGACACTGTCTGATCAGGATATCTGAATACAAGAACAGAGATGGCGAGTTCTCGATATCATTGTTCCCAAAATTCTGGGGAAAAGGTTATGGGACGGAGGCCACCGTGTTCACGGTTGGTCATGCATTCAGCGCCCTCGGCCTGCAACGTTTGTCGTTGTGCGTCCTCGAGGGAAATGTTGCAGCTCGGAGACTCTATACCAAGATGTGAGAATAGTCATACTTTGACGTTTCAAGCAGAGCCGAATGCGTTCTATCCCAGAGGTTTTCGAGAGGAGGGTAGGAAGAGGCGAGGAAATTGGGCGGAAGGGAAGTGGGAAGATATCATATACATGGGAGTTTTGGAAGAAGAATGGGCTGCATCACACAGCGCCGCTGTTAGTGTAACGGAGGACTAGGTACCTTGTTGTGTCTGAGAATCCAAACCTCGTAACTAAAACCACAACTATACCCGAATGCATTCACAACTCAAAGTCGTGTCCAAAAGTACTGCTTTCTATCCAGTCCTTTTCGGAACTGAAAAGTCATGGAACGCGAAAGATATTTTGTCGGTACCATGCAAGTTCTGCAACGCGGAATCGGCCAAATGACCTTGTAAAATTGAAAAATTTACCTCGAATGGAACCCCTTATATCTTGCAATGCTCTACAGCATCATCAAGAAATGCCCTTCGCAGTATACGGGAACATACCTGTGTCTCCCGCTGATCTCCTGTGGTGCTTCTTTGCCAGGATACCATCGACGACATAGTTCCTGCAGCACTGTCAAATCATACGAACTAAACAGGGGTCCCGGTCAGCGCTCACCTTGATTGATGACACATCTGGTTTCCTGGTTAGATCACGCTGCGGACCGAGAGAACAAGAAGCACGTGCCTACAATCCTTCA